ACGTACTGTTCGAATTCAGAAAAAAATAGGATTATAATGAAAAACTGGGGCTTTCTTTGTAGATAAAAAACGCCAAAAAACTTCCCACGGCTTGTTTCAATATTTTTGCCGAACAGTAAACACGATTCCACGCGCAGGTCGCGAGGATGAAGTGTGATCTATATAAATCGTATTTAAACTGTACTAACTGTAGGGAGCCACCTTAAGATTGACGTTTACGGCAAACGTCAAACCGCTAGCGAGGTGTTTAATTTTACAACTCTATTATTATAGCTTTTACACCAGTTTTGAAATATGTTAAACTTATTAAACTTGTGCTCTTTAGCAATGATTTAAGAAAGCAAATTAACCACTAGTCATGCCATTCACCAAAGCAGTAAATTAAGATTTGGCGTTTGAAGTTGACGTTTGGCGTATAAATTTCATGCTTTAACGACTACAAGCCCTCGTCGCAGTTCAAGCATGAAATTTATACGCCAAACGTCAACTTCAAACGCCAAATCTTAATTTACTGCTTTGGTGAATGGCATGAGTAGTGGTTAATTTGCAATTGCTTTCTTAAATCATTGCTAAAGAGCACAAGTTTAATAAGTTTAACATATTTCAAAACTGGTGTAAAAGCTATTATAAAAGAGTTGTAAAATCAAAAACCTCACTAGCGGTTTGACGTTTGCCGTAAACGTCAATCTTAAGGTCTCTAATGTCAATGTATTACATCCCCCTTCTTAAACTAACAAAATATTAATATAACTTTAATATGAACTGTTATCTATAGATAATAATAGTCCAGTTACTATAGGCAGGATAAGTTGCAAGTATCTCGGAAAGTTTGATTAAATCTATTTCATTTCATGACATAGTCTCTGTATTTTATTGGTAGCGCTGTGGTTCTCATTGGTCGTCCCTGATTAGGTGGATTCTGGAGGTCTAAATCTGGTGGTTGTGCAATAATGGTCGGTTGTTCTTCACCAACATCCTCAGTTTGCTCTATTATGGTTGAAGGCGGAATGTTGGTCTTTAAAAGGTCACGACGGTTCCGTCTGTATTGTTGTCCATTTGATGTTGCGGCGATATACGATCTTGAGAGGCCCAGATACTGTCCTGGCGTAGGTGGATGCTTTCTCCAATTTCAAGTGGTGGTAATGGTTTGGTTGATTTGTCGTAGTTCTGCTTCTGCTGGTTCTGTCGTTGTTCAAGCTGCTGCTGTGCATTGATTGGCACTGCTGGTAGTAGTAACTCTTTGGATATTGGAATCTTCGTTCTTGTGGTGCGGCTCATCAGCAGTTGTGATGGAGAGTATGTCATTCCGGTAACAGGCGTGTTACGGTACTCCACCAAACCAACGTATGGATCGTCAGCCTTCTTCAGGATCCGTTTTACGGTTTGTACAGCTTTTTCACTCATGCCATTTGATTGAGCATAGGTTGGGCTTGATGTTGTTTGTTTGAATCCCCATTCTTTGGCTAATTCGTCAAACTCTTTGCTATTGAAGGGCATGTTGTCGGATACCAACTCTTCTGGGATTCCGTGTCTGGCAAAAATTGATTTCAAGTGTCTAGTTACTGTTCCTGCTGTCTTGTTTGGAAGAAGGGCTGTTTCGATGAACTTCGAATAGTAATCTACTACAACGAGGTAATTCTTGCCCTTACATTCACACAGATCAGTTCCTAGATTTTGCCATGGTCGTTCAGGTATTTGATGTGCTATCATCGGTTCCTTCTGGTTTCTTCTTCTATATGTGGCGCAAGTAGCACATTTTGATACTTTCTCGTAGATATCTTGACATTCCAGGCCAAAAAAGGATTGCTCTTGCTTTGCATGCATTTCTCTATCCCGAGATAACTTTCAAGCATATTGCTTCTCATTGCTGTAGGTGTGACTAACTGGTGGTCTTTGAAGATCAGACCTTCTGCTTCACTCAGCTCATGGCGAATGTTCCAGTAGGTAGCTAAGTTTTGCGCGATTTCATGCTTGCGATCAGGCCAACCTTGAACCATCTGCTGTTTAAGTTGTTGTGGCGTTTCATTCGCTGTTTCTTCCTTAAGCTCTGCCATTTTCTCAGGAGATGCTGGTATTGCTGTAACCATGTTGTGCACCATTACTTCAATGTCCTCATTAAGTTCCTGTTGTTCTCCTTCTTCTGGTAAGTACGCTCTAGACAAAGTGTCGGCGATGAACAGGAATTTCCCGGGAACATATTTTACTGTTGGGTGATACTTCTGTAGTCGGATGAGAAGACGCTGAATTCGCGGTGGTGCTTGTGATAATGGTTTAGCTATGATGGCTTCCAACGGCTTGTGGTCGCTGTGTACTGTGACTTGTGTCCCATAAATGAATTGGTTGAAACGTTCACATGCGAATACGATTGCGGGCAGCTCTTTCTCTATCTGAGCATAGTGCTGCTCAGCATTGGTGAGTGATCGGGATGCATAAATTACTGGGTGTCCTTCCTGAATTAAACATGCACCCAGTCCACCTTGTGACGCATCAACTTGGAGGGTAACAGGCTTATTGATGTCGTAGAAGTGCAAAACTGGGCTGCTTGTGAGGACTTTCTTGATTCTTTCGAGTGCTTTCTGATGTTCGTTGTGCCAGGACCATTGTATGTCTTTCTTGAGAAGGGTACGCAGTGGCGCAGTGATCTCAGACATGTTGGGTATGTACTGTGAAAGATAGTTCACCATTCCCAATAGGCGTTGTAAATCTTGCTTGTTTTGGTAGAGGCATTTCGATAATGGCTTTAATCTTCTCAGGATCAGGAGTGAATCCTTTAGCACTAACGATGTTGCCAAGCTATTTCACTTCAGTGACTCGTAGTTGGATCTTCTTGTTGAATTTTATGTTTCGTTCTGTTGCTCGATGTAGGACTTTCTCTAGAGCTACATGTATGTCATGCTCTTCTGTGTTGGCACCTGAGACTATGATGTCATCATGTACTGCTAGTGCACCAGGGATGTCAGAAAATTCATCATCTACCATTTTCTGCGCTACATCCGATGCTGAACATATGCCAAAAGGCATGCGATTGAACTTGTATCGACCGAACGGTGTATTGAATAATTTCTTTCCACTCAGGTGATTTGAGATGGATTCAGCGGACGGTGCTTTGTAATGTCCTCTTTTTATTGAGTTATTAAGATCTTTCGGTTCTAAACACAGTCTCAGTGATCCATCTTTCTTTTCTACGATTACGAGACTAATATAGGTCATCCAATTTGCTGATAACTCCTGATTTCGTAAGATTATCAAGTGTTTCTTTCAGTTTTGATATCAGACTTGGTATTTTTCGCGGTGGTTGAATCGTTGCTTTGGCAATTTCTTGAAAGTCGATGTGATATTCTTTAATCTTTAATCTTTAAATCACTTTATTTACCACAAGATACAGGTAAAATGGTGGACACAACAGGTTACCCCAATTACTGTGCCTCCAAAACTATCTAGATTTACAAGTTAAGAATGCATGCAAAATTGATTACGCTATATAATAGACTATGAAATGCGCTATATCACAGATTAGGAAGTAAAAAATACGATAGATAAACACTATGAAAGTCAACTAAAAGCGACAATGAGGCACTTCATTTAAAAGGTGCGCATTTTTGCATTTGATACAAACAGATTTCCATGTCCTGTTGTCGTCAGTGTCATAGATATCCTTTAAGGCTTTGTTGTAATAAGAATACAAACTCTAACTAACGAGTTTGGTTTTCTAACGTTAGATCGTTTGGTAAAATGTTCCTATAGTTTTGTTAAGCTTATAAAGTAGCTGTTTTGGTAAGTGGTAGTTCTACACTTTTTCACAACCAATTTCCTACCATTGTTTGTGGTGCTACGTGTACGTCTCGCTGCAACGTAATTTGCAGGGCAGACGCCAGACGGTAGAGATACCAAACCATGTATCACCTTGAACAGGGAAAGCAGATCGAGCAGTTCAAGCCAGTAGGAAACTGATAGTATTCGAAGTGACAATAGTCTTTCTTTATATGGTATCTCTGAGAGGTAATTTAAATTTAAAATGAATTTAGACGCCCGTCGCTGAACCTATTCCATTTCTTGTATGAGCTCAACTTTTTGCGGAGACCATAGTTGGCTTGCGTACGAGAAACTGGATCGAACAATTGTGAGGTAAAGCAGCCGCCTAGTTTGAGGATTGTGGAATTCTAAAGTACACCGTCTAAGCAGACCTAACATTTTATTGGCTTTTTTGCAAATTTTATACGTATGATCACTCCAGTCAAGGTTGGACGTGACTAAAACGCCAAGGTCATTAATTTTGCTGACCAAAGGTAAGGGCGTATCATTCAGTTGGTAGGGGTATTGAACAGTGTTTTTTTTCCGAGTGATTTTTAGTACAGAACATTTTAACCCATTAAAATTTAAGTGGCAGTTTTCAGTTGCAACACTTACAGAGTTAATTTCTGTTTGGAATAAATGTGCATCATCGTGGGAATTAATTGACCTGTAACATTTTAAATCATCTGCATACATAGCACCTCGATCACATGGAGACAAAATATCACTACTGTAGACCAAGAACAGAATTGGGCCAAGTATCGAACCTTGTGGAACTCCGGATGCTACCTGAAGAGGTTTAGAGGTTGCTCCCAATACTGTCACTTGTTGTTGTCGGTTTAAAATATACGAAGACAACCATTTTAAATATGAGGTTGGTAATCCGATATGCTTTAATTTGACTAAAAGCAAACTATGATCCACTCTATCAAATGCTTTTGACATATCAGTATATAGAATGTCTACTTCTTCCCCTCGATCGAGTTTCATACCAATATCATCGAATGTCGACAGTAGCTGAGTTGTGCAAGATTTCCCAGGTAAAAAACCGTGTTGATTCTTGTGTATATTGGGAGTTATTATTACAAGCAGACGTTTAAGTATGCAACGCTCTACAGTAGTATCTTAGAGACAAGAGACAGTAATGATACAGGCCTATAATTTTCCAAGTGTCCTTTGGTACTATTTTTAAAGAGTGGAATAATGTTGGCAAGCTTCCACTCTGTGGGAACCATTCCTGTACATAATGATTTGTTAAATAATTTTGTCAACGAAGGACTAATCTCTTCAGCGCATTCTTTTAGCAATCGACCTGGTATACCATCCGGACCTTTAGCTTTATTTACATTTAAGGTTTTCAGTTGATGTTCTACTTCGGTGATGGTAATTTCCAGAGGTGGTATATCGATTTGGGAAACTACGGAGGGGTTATAATTTTCAGGTGGATTGGGAAATAAGAATGGAATTTGCACTGAGTGGAAATACGTATTAAGCAAATTGGCTATATCTTGCGGATTATTTGCAGTTAGGGTGATATTATCAGAAGAATCTGCATGAAGGGATACGGAGTTAGGGACATTTCCACAGTTTGAAGATTTAGTAAAAGCCTTAATGAGCGACCAAAATCGCTTGGGATTAGTAAATATTTCAGCGCCAACTTTGTCAAAGTACGAAGATCGACTTTCCTTGATCAATCGCTTTGTCAATGCTCGAATGTCGCGATAATTTTTCTTCAGGGAATTACTCGAATTAGTGCTAAGTTTTCTGCGAATGGTTTCTTTCTTGTTAAGCAAATGTCTAATTTCTGCATTGATCCATGGTGGCGAATTTCTGTCCTTAATTTTGCGTTTCGGAATGAATTGATCTACAATCGATATAAATGTTTCCTTCCAGTTAGGGGCTGTTCATATGGGCCCTGCTCTGCCGGGCTGGTTTTCAAGTGCCGAGATCCCGCCTCACATATTGTTTGTATATTAATTTAGGATTGGGTTCATATGAGAAGCGGGCCAGCCCGGTTTGCCGGGATCTCGCTTGAGGGAGGCGAGATCCCGGCTTGCCGGGCTCATATGAATGCACAACCGGGCTAGCCCGGCTGGAAATTTGCGTGCTTTATTCCACTGATAAACAGTCTAAAATGTCCAAAACTATAGGAATTTATCGAAATTAAACCTCCTGAAGCTGTTGCCGTCGACAAAAATAAAATTTTGCCAAATAAACACGAATTTTATTTTCCCGCTAAAATATCGCGGGAAATCGTTACCATGAATAGATATGATTGCCGGGCTAGCCCGCCTCATGTGAAAGCAAAGCGGGCCAGCTCGGCAAAGCGGGCCAGCTCGGTTAACCGGGCTCATATGAACAGGCCCTTAGACCAGTCTAAATTTACATCTTCGTGACCGTCGGAAATACAGGATAATAAACAGTCATTAGCGAGATTGTTCCTTAACCCAGATATATCGCCCTTTGGGAAATCATAAACATACCTACTTAATTTTGGTGGCGCTGTTACAGCCATTTGGATGTCAAATACTAAACCATTGTGATCGGTACAAATGCCCATTTGATCTGGGGTAAGAACATCAGTAATGCACAGCAATTCTGGGATGTTTGTGATCAATAAGTCTAAAATATTGTTGTTTCTCGTCGGATAACTATTGATTTGATGCAAGAAATTATCGTTTAGTGAATCAATGAAGCGATGATTATTTATATCCATATCATCGTCACGACTGAACAGCTTTGGCAAATTAAAGTCACCAGTAATTATTATTCGGTGGCTTAAGACATTAATTGTACCCAGAAACTTTGCAAAACAATCAAACCAGACCACATTAGTGTCAGGTGGCCTATAACAACAGCATAACAACAGTTTTTGGTTCAGATGGGTTGTGCATAGCAGTGTTAATATTTCGAGTTCGTCAAATTCGTGGGGGAAAATAGAGACATTTTTAAAACTTGTAGACTTCACTGATATCAGAACGCCACCTCCAATTCGGTTGTGACTTCTATCCCGTCTAAATGTAGTATAGTTATAAGGCAAAATCTCAGAATCAGATATCGAATTATTAAGCCACGTCTCAGTTACACATACTATGTCCAAATCCTCATGATAAACAAAGTTCTGAAAAGCGGCTAGATTAGATATCACTTGAATTGCGATTATTAACACTCTTCTCCTTCGACGAGACCCAAACCAGTGAATACATCTTTGTAGTCCTCGATGATGTCTACTTTCTTTTCCTGGATTTCACTGATTTGATTTATGCTAATTAATTCAAGATTCTGACATGTTTGTAAACCAATCAGTGCTTTGGCATTGGGAACCTTGACAACAAAGAACTCGACTTCCGTTTTCCGGTCTGCAGTTTGCTCGATTTCTAAAACGCATTTTCCTTTCACCGGAACCTGTGCTCCTCCATATGCTGTTAGATTTGTCCCAGTAGCGATGAGTTGTGGTTTCTGCTTAATTCCGTCGAAAATGTCCTCGGGTAGCACATTGCACTGAGCGCCAGTGTCTATTTTGAAATTTACATTTTTGCTTAACCTTGAGGTTAGTTTATATTAATACATTTTTGGCGGTTGTTGTCGTAATTTCTCCGATAAACGATTCGTCTTCCTCCGTACTAGAATTATCGGTAGTTTCTTCTTTTCGAACTTCGTGTACGCATGTTTCTGACATTTGAGTGTTGAGGTTTTTCGAGCGGCACATTTTGGCGAAATGATTATTTCCGTGACACTTGCGACATGTTTGCCCAAACGCTGGGCATTGTTTTGGTGCATCGGATTTGAGCCACAACGCGAACAAGACTGTGTTTTGCTGACATTTCTACTTGCTTTCGTTTCTTCCCGAAACGAGAAGGTTCTTTCAAAATTCTTGTGAAGTTTTGTACACACGTATTAAATATATATCGCTCGTATGTCGTGTTTTTACTTGGTGTACAGTAGCTCTCAAATTTCTGAATGAGCGGTTGGATCTTATCTTGTTCAGTTTCAGTAAAGGTGAAAGTATCATAGATTTCCAATGCTTCTTCTCCGATTGTGTGAAGGAAAATTGCACACTGAGTCCCTTCGTCTTTTTCGTCGGCTCCACTGGCTTTCGCGTAAAGATTCCTGCGTACGTTGTCTCCATTTCCTCCAGTTTTCTGCCACATTTCCGTCCATTTTTAACGGACCCATAGGCTTCATATGTTCCATGATTGTAGTTTCTCCTGACACCATGTAATAAACAGTGTTACGCCATTAACGTTGAACTTACAATGAATATATTTATTGTCAATGTCAATGTATTACAGTATCTGTAGGTGCCCGCGTATTTTTGCAACGGTATTTTGCATGAATTCGAAAAGAGCGGGAAATTTTGTAAAATTGTTTTGTTTTGACAATGGCTGCTCGTTTTGCATCGGTTTCAACAGAGCAAATTGAAAAATAGTTCAAGACAAACGCCCGTATTCTAAAAGCTCACTCTGGAGGTTCAATCTGAGCTCTTCTTGAGTATCAATGCTGTTTTTGAATAGCTGGAGGGCGAGTAGTCCCGTGCCGTAGCAAGCTCGATAATTGGGGGGGGCTCATATTCATATATTCCACTGATCTGAAATAAGACTGGATAACGCATCTATAGTATACAAAAGTGAAGCCGGAAGTCACCGGCCGCCACCCGATTCTGGGCCCCCACTTTTGTATAGATTTGTATTACAGACGGTACCTTTTCGCGTTTTTTGCCTTGGCTACGTTTCCGATCGGGCCAATTTTACAATCACAACGATAGAAGCATACAAGAAGAATTTTGAGCAATAAATTTGGAGTATTATGGCTTTATAACGCCGCGAAATGGGATTTACAACTCTGAAGGAGTGGAGAGCCTCAGACTTTGTTTATCAACGCGAGCTCGTTTTGCTACTTTCATACAAAATCGACTCAAAATATACAAGAATTATTGTTACTGGACGAATATTCTCACGAAATTTGAAGAAATGAAGCAGCTACATTGTGAACAAAAGCGTACTGAGGTTAGTTTTAAAATACCTTGAGTCTACTTTTATAATTATACGAATTTAATAAGGAACAGTTTTAAATGTCAATTTTGTCAAAAGTATTCCTAGGCGACTTGTCGAGAAGTTTTATATGTTTTAAAGTAGGAAGACAAGTGACAATGAAATATTTTTAATCCAAATTATAAACAACGACTCAATGTGTTATTTTAATTCATATAATTATGGAAGTAGCCTCAAGGTATTTTAAAACTAACCTCTGTACGCTTTCGTTCACAATGTAGCTGCTTCATTTCTTCAAATTTCCTGAGAATATTCGTCCAGCAACAGCAATTCTTGTATATTTTGAGTTGATTTTGTATGAAAGTAGCAAAACGAGCGCGCGTTGATAAACAAAGTATGAGGCTCTCCACTCCTTCAGACTGTTGTAAATCCCGTTTCGCGGCGTTATAAAGCCATAATACTCCAAATTTTTTGCTCAAAATTCTTCTTGTATGCTTCTATCGTTGTGATTGTAAAATTGGCCTTGATCGGAAACGTAGCCAAGGCAAAAAACGCGAAAAACTACCGTCTGTAATACAAATCTATACAAAAGTGGGGGCCGGTGACTTCCGGCTTCACTTTTGTATACTATAGTCACATAGTCATAGTATTGATAGTAAAGTACGACACTAACCATGCAGCTATTCAGAAACAGCATTGACACTCAAGAGAAGCTCAGATTGAACTTCCACTCAGTGAGTGCGAGTGTGATTGAGCTTTGTTAATTATCCCCAAGCCTGGGGCGAGGGTACTAATTCCCCTCGGCTACTTACACTCTGGAAAGGAAAGCATTAGCGAAGTCTAAAGTTGGTCGATAATCGCGGGCGCTTGGGTATCGTGGGTGGTCATCTCACTGATCTCAAAAACATGGCTCTCTTTGCCAGGAGTACCAGGGGCGTAGGAACCAAGGGGGCACGTGACCCCCCAAATTTTTTCAAAGGTCCAAAAGTGCCCTTTTTTGTGATGAAAAGTGCCGTTTTTGTACAAGCTAATGTTACGTTGCAATTCGAAATTTTGAGCAAATGTGTTATAATAAGCATGAAATATATGATATGATTGGAAAATATTTTCTCCCCCTTATCCAAAAGTGCCCTTAGCCGGTGCCCCCCCCCCCGAATCTTTTGATGCTTCCTACGCCCCTGAGGAGTACCCTGGTCACCAGAGGTTCTTGTATTTTCTGCCCTATATTATTATAAATACGAGCTATAATAATAGGGCGAAAGATTGAAGTACCTCTGGCAACCAGGGTAGCCCAGAAGTGAAGGAGGCAGAGATTTAAAAACATGTAAGAAAGTTTGGAAAATCGTTTCACACAATAAATTGTGAAACATGTTTTTTCAACTTTTAAAGAAACAAGAATTGATCTACTGAAGTGTAGGGTAAGTTTGTTATGACTGTTTATGTATGGAGCTTTCCCATTCTTAATTCTTCATGAAGATGACTTAATTAAATTATAGTCGAAACATAAAGAATAAAAATGTTTCACAATTTTCGGAATGTCTATTGTTTTGTGTTTTTACTGTTTTATTAAAATACTCCATGGCAACCGCAATTTTTTCCCATTGTATCAGTAAGTTTCTTATACAATTAACTATATTTTATTATTGTTTTAATTTTTTATAGAAGCTCAAAATAAAAAGGACAGCAAATTATTTTCATTAGCGACCTGTATGATTTAAGAATTAAGTTTATTTCATTTCAAAGTACCAGTAATAAGTTGAAGAGTTAATTTAAAAGAACGACATTTAACTTTAAATTGTTGAAATTCACCTAAAAGATTTTCACCAGATTTTTTCACCAAGTTTGAGAGAACAATTTGGAAACTCGCCAACTTGTTATTTAAGTGAAACATTTTTGTTATTTTCGAACGAGACGCGAACTGCGAAGGTTTATAATTTTCCGGCCAAAGAATTATTGTTTACATATGGAACTAACTTTCAAAACAAATTACTGCAATCTCATTGGTCAAGAACTGTTACATATAATTAGTGTAAGTAATAAATAATAACGATACTTAATTCCTGTTGAAACAATGTTTGGAAAATAAAGGCGAGGGGTTGCTGTATTTGATATATTTCTAGTTTAAATATGCAGTAATAAATTATAATAATTAACTAGCGATCGTATCAACCAATCACAATATCTGATTAGTCAGTTTAATTTTCCCTTAGCAACCATGCATTTGGCCAGTGGCAAAGCCAGCCCTAAAATTTGGTTATGCTATGCAAATTTTAAATCATCATTATTCATTTCTTTAGAAGTGGATTGTTTTCACGGTCTATGAACACGGCAATATTTGCATAGCATGACCAAATTATCAGGCAGGCTTCGCCACTGCATTTGGTATATATGTGACACAGGCTATATAACCATTTTAGCAACGCTTAACAACCATGAAATTCATTATATTTTGTAAAACTAAAAATTACTTGACATAAAACATAAATTCCTTGATTCTCATCACTACATCCCGAAAATGTCGAAGAGGCGAGAGGTTTATATTTCATGATATAATTTATATAGCAATAGATAAAAAATTTCCGAAGTGAAGTGCACAAACCGAAATAAACTTACATTACATATTTCTGTCATCTCCAACGTATCTCCAAGAACAATGACTGAACCCTTCAACTTAATGCGAAGTCGCTTTAAAATGCAATGAAATTTCTTTCGAGGTTCTGTTTGTTTGAAGTTGGCAGTTTAAAATGACACTAAAAACCCAACATATAATATAAAAAACTTAACTGTCTTGAAATATTTGGTTGGGCTGTACGTTTATTTTGTGTAACGAAATCTAAAAAATATTCACGCGGCTCTTAAAATACAGTCGGGCAGTGAAGAGAATCAAGGAATTTATTTTATGTGGCCTTCAAGGAATTTATTTATATGGCCTTACGAGCTTTTATATATTAATTTAAGCATTTTAATATATATATATACAGGGTGTATCAAAAAAAGCGCAATCCTCGATTGAAATGTAAATTGCTAAACAAATAATAGACGAAAACGTTAAAGTTTACATTCATTTTAAAGCGTAGCCATTCAGCTTTCTAACAGTGGGTTGTTTCTTAAATTTGACTCATTGGTTCGCGGGTAATAATACTTTACGTTATTGCGATTGGAGATTAAAATAATTGAGATGGAATAACAAATCGTTCTCATGAAAATAACTGTTTTTTTCATTAAAACAAAAAATGTTGCATTTTATTAAATGGATTGTAACAATAAGTATAATTACGGCTTTTCTTCCACTATTTTTAACTCAGTTTGAAACTTCAAATGCGATATAATTTTGGCTTGAACCATCTAAGCTGACTGACATCAACTTGCTATAATTTCTGTTTACATTACATCGCAATTCGATGACACTCTGGCTCAGACACCAGAATGTTTTGACGATTTGTAGCATTCGTTTAGGATTTCAAGCAACCTGGTACTTTTAATTCGTTCTTACGTGGTTTTCCAGATGTAGTGACGACAACATTAAAGTTTAAAGAAGAAAATTCTAACATTTAAACCGACCAAACAATAACATAGTAAACTTGCATAATTAAACAGCAACTAAAAATGATAGGTTTTACTAAATCTTTTCCTGTGCAATTATTACTAGCATTGGAGACAAGGATAATAGTTTGTTTGAAAGAGAAAAGAACAGGCTTTGAAGTAAGCCTAAAAGCGTTTAACTAGAAATAGTATTTCGAAAGTTTTTTTCTGTGTTGTTGTAGTGTACTCAGGTGAATATGATATTTGTGGTGTTACTCTGAGTCTATATCCACACCGGGCGAGCTTGAAAAATATGCCCGGCCACGGCTAGATTCGAACCCACGACCCTCGGAACACCAGCCCAATGCTCTTCCAACTGAGCTACGCGGTCAGGACGGTTCGAGTAAGTGATATTTCGGAACAGAATCTAGTTCCTTCGATACCAATGTATTCTAGTAATATGAATTTTTTTCTGTGTTGTTGTAGTGTACTCAGGTGAATATGATATTTGTGGTGTTACTCTGAGTCTATATCCACACCGGGCGAGCTTGAAAAATATGCCCGGCCACGGCTGGATTCGAACCCACGACCCTCGGAACACAGTAGGAAGAGCATTGGGCTGGTGTTCCGAGGGTCGT